AGAAAAGAGTCCCACTTCTCAGACGTCGTCGCACTTCCATAGACGAGAGACCAGTCGGCGTTTACAAGCAAATCATTGAAATAATCAAAATCAACTCGATTCAGGCAGCGGGATGTGATGATATTGGTTTGGCGTTTCTCTTTCGATACTTTCAGCAATATTCGCGTGAAGTCATGCGGACTGTAGTGACAGGCGGTGACACCACAGCGTTGGATGAGGTCCTTGTGATTTGTGATCGTACCATCTATCAGCGAGCCAGCAGGACGGTACGTTGGATAGGAATCGTTACACATATGCAGATTGCAAGACCGTAGCAGTTGCATCCATTTCTGATAGCCAGCGCCTGTGCTCGAGCCAATCAGGTTGATGTTTAAATCACCGGCGATCACTGTTAGGCAGTCATGTGTGGACATTATACATTGTAACTGGTTCTCCAAATCATCGAGATCATCAGACACCTGCCGGGCTGTGTCAGTGAGATGTCGGTACAATGACCCGAAAATAATCTGTTTTGCTTTAGCGGGTCGAACAAGGGTCCAAATAATCTCAAGATTCGATGAACCAACGGCAGTATGAGGCGTTTTCAGAACAGTTACATCAAACGAGTCTCGCGCCAGAACTGCGACCCCTCCGCAACCTCTAGGCGGTCCGCTGTCTGCAGGCCGGTCGTGTCGGTACAGCCGGTACCGATCAATGTTCAGCAGCCGGGCGGGGACAGATGGCCGCAGCCACGTTTCACTGAGTGCGAGAATATCAAACTGATGCATATCAGCTAGACTGGGACGCAGATCTGGCAGTTTGGGCTTCAAACTTTGCATGTTTAACTGCGCGATGTATAGTTCACCCGCACGGCAATCGCCGGGCGCCCGCCACCTCACCCTTTCCCCATAGCCCCGGCGCTGCGATCGCTTGCCCCGGCGCGCCGGGCGGCTGAGTCTGAGTGTACTCTGGTGGTCGCGGGCCTGACTCACCTGAGTCGGGCCCGCCTGAGTCAGGCCCGCGACCACCAGAGGGCCGGCCCGCGCTCACGCCCGCACCCAAGCCGGCCAAGACAATTCTGGGCTCGCCCCTGGCCGCCGCGGTGACCTGGCGCGGTCCGCACTCAACAGCTGACCCCGCATGGCCCGAGGGCACGCGCCGAGCCGGGAGCCAGGGATTTGGGGCCGGCACGGTGGCCCGCACGATAACCTGGGCGACCGCCAAGGTCACGAACAGGCGGAGCACCTGGCGATTCATTGCAGAACGCAGGCTTGCCGCTAGCTTGCTAGCTTGTCCGCTCCAGAACTGGAGCGGAGATGGTTGTAGTCGCGTTGTATATAGGCTCAGAAGCCGCCGGTAGTTGTCGCCTCGAGCCCGTCGCTGCACACCGGCAGACAGGTGGTCCCTTCTCGGTAGTCACAGTAGTCACGGTAGTAGGTCGCGATTCACGTGATCAGCGAAATGATCCCTTCACCTTCCCACTCGCGCACAGTCACTCTCACTCTCACACTGCCACTAAAACTGTTTACGAAACATGGTAACCGATCAGCTAAAAGGCCACTGGGTCGCGAGGTGGGGAGAGACCACGGCGCGTCCGCCACCAGCGCCGCGCTCAGTGGAACTGAGCGAACTGAGCTAAGAGTGTTTTGCGTTCACAGTGACTAAGAAGTGGATTAATGAGAAAAGCGAGGGAGTGTTCCTGAGCGAACTTTGCTCCATGACTTGTGTGTTTGAGGCTCAATCGTTGTCGTCTCACTGTGTAAGCACCAGGCTGTGTTTCTCTAGTGCTGTGTCTAAGCCATGCAGCAATGGCTGTCGCTTCACACCAAGCTGTGATGCACATTTGCTGGCCATTATAACCTTTATTTGTGGGGTCATACCGGGGAAATGAGTATGGAGTGGGATGTTTCGAACAAAATATGGGAGCCCAAACTTAAGAAATATAGCTATTGGACGTCCATATAAATACCTACTCACCGAGCAATGCATTTATGAATGCGTTTTCATTAAAAAATGATAAATGAAAATATTTATTTCGTTTATTCAATCTCATCACTTGTCCGTTTTGCTCCGAATACTGCTTCGTTTTGCTCCAAGCCAGGGGCAAAATGAGAAAAAAAACATTGCCTGATATTTAGGATCACACTTTAACGTGAAGAGATATCAAACCAGCGCTTTTGTAAGATATGGACAATTGATCAGACTTCAATATCCACCTGCTAAAGACTTTCTGGACAGACTTATGAACTTCCCATATAAAAAAACCGTTAAGGTGTCCGCCTTGTCCGTTCTCCCCTACGTCAAGGGTCAACAAAAATACAAAAACCAGAAAAATAGGGTCGCGGGCAAACCCAGGGTCCCAGCCTATGGCACTGATCAGCATGATACCTTTGCCAATCGGTAGGGCATGTAAGGACAGTGTATCTACTATGGCAGTTGTGAAAAAGCTTTTGATATACCGGATATGATCGGTGACAAAAGCTGACACTTTTGTGAACCAATGAGTGACAAAATTGCGAAAATGCAAACCAATCTCAATAGACCAGACCACATTGCAACTTACCATCCCAGCCAAACAAAACCTATGGCTTTGTATTGGTCTGTGCTCGGTAACACTTGCAGCGTGGGCATGTGTAGAATGCATGTCGAAAGGTTGACGTTTCGCTGCATGAGTAAATTAAGTCGCAGTATGCTGCCAAGCATAGTAGCTCTAATCAGGATAGTTCTTAGTAGGCGCCGGAAATAAACTACAAACTATACTATATCAGTGTTGACGTCTCAGATCAGCGGTGACCCAGTGCTTTTCCAATGCTCCTATATCAGTGCTTTTCACAGATTTTTCAGCCAAGATTCACTTTACATACTAAACAGAATAAAATACCAAATAACTGGGCTTATAACTAGTCGTAAGGATCATAGCTGGCCGCAGCATCCTCCGACGAACGTGATAAGTTTGCTATGCAGCGTTTCAAAGTGTCGTGCCATTTGAGACAGATGGGCTCGAAGGCTCGCCGCGCGGTGATGCGTTAGATTCAATGCAAGGTTGTGGGCTGCTGTTAGTTGTGTTCATGGCGTGGGAAGTCGATTGACCATAAGAATATAGCTAATCGTCAGTTTTTAATGCAATAGCGTTAAAAAGCCGTGCCGATCTAGGATTGTTGCTTGTGAGTATCTGAGCTGTAGCTCCAGAGGTAAACGGAGTACGTTGGAGCAGCACATGACAAAGATTCATCCGGGGCTTTCTGCTGCTGAGAGTAACAGCGGCTTTGAGGTAAGAGACTAAACATCACTGTTGTAGGCTCCTCACATTGCCCGTTGCACCTCTGGCTTAGCGGACTCATCGGTGGACAGTCGTGAGATAAAACGCTTTTTATTTTCATACGGTTGCATATGAATCTGAACAAAGGTGGTAGAGGTGTTCAAAAATAGCGTTTGCATCTGTTGATACCAAAATTGCACGGATTTTTTTTCTAAATGAATGGGATCATAGTGGCAAGTGTGAGGTCTACACCGGTAATGATTATACGAAGATAGTGAAGGTCGCCCTAGGGCTACAGAGATGCAGTTTTGCAAATACGTAGGGTTGATGGATCAAAGGTGGGAGGGAAGAAAAAAGGAATGAGTCTGCCCCACAAAATGCACTCATAACAGTTTACTCCACAGATTTGACGCACTTCCTTTTCACAGTTGGGAGCAGGAGTGTAGTGTCTTAAAATTAGTTTGTGGGACTAAACCCTACAAAATGTGGTTAATGAAGAATAGCGCTTAAAAATGATGACTAAAAATGGGGAACTACATCTATGGTTAGGAACCACAATCCCCTTCCCTTATTTGAATAGGAAATCACACGTCTTCAGGCTGGTTATGTTAAGTATGCCTTTATCTGATACTTTATCAATTAAGCCTCAACCATTTTCAATGCTTGATGGCCAGCAAATGATATTTGAGTGCAAATGAAATCGCGATAAAAGTTTCGTGGTTACGACGCATCACATTAAATTTGTCTTCGTTTTGTGCTTAATTGCATTTAGAGTTCATGGCAACGGTTTCTGGAAGATTCGGCTGCAGGTGACAATTTAGAAGGTTCCAAATTTCATCTGTGACAGAAAAGGCACCTTTTTCACACTTGGTCTATGGTGCATCGATTCGTGACGGTTTGTTTCCGATTGGTATTATAGAATCGTAACATGGGGTTGTCCGCAAACCAATTTCAGAGGGTTTCGGCCGATTGTGGTGACTTTTGACGTGTACCAAGGTCACCATATTCTGGAAAAAATAGGATATCGACTATGGCGCATCGATTGGTTGAAAGTTTCATGCTGATCGATGCCATAGGCCCGAAGCATGGGTTTCCTGGAACCCTATTTTTCCTGTTTTTGGTATTTTTGGTGACTTTTTTTGGTGACCTGAATCAAGGTTGTCATGTTCTGGATAGAATTAAATATCGACTATGGCGCATCGATTGGTGAAGGTTTCGTGCTGATCAGTGCCATAGGCTCGGAGCACGGGGCCGTCTGCAGCCAATTTTGGTAGTTTTGGGTATTCCTGGTGACCTTCAACCTGTACTTGACCTTTTGGTGACTTTCAACCATGTATCCAAGGTCAACATGTTCCGGAAAGTCCAGGATATTAACTATGGACACAGCAATTGATGAAGATTTCATTCTGATCGGCGTCATAGGCTCGGTGCGTTGTGTTGTCTGCGGCCCTATTTTTACGGTGTTTGTATTTTGGGGACCTTTATCCTGATTCAAGCTCACCATGTTATGGAAAGGATAGGTTATCAACCAAGCGGCACCGAATAGTAAAGATTCCATGTCGATCAGTGTCATAGGTTTGGAGCAGCGGTATGTCAACAGGTTTGGTCAGCAGTTTAGTCCTTTCCTATTAAAGACTTTGGGCGCAACCGTACGTACATAAACAGTTACCATGGCAACGAGTTAATCTGCGCCACCGTTGTTGTCTGTGTGTGTGTGTTTTTGGTGTTTCGTGTTCGATGCTTGGGGAAGTGGGTTGATTTC